GGCTGGCTGGGTGGGCTACGAGGGGTTGCCCGGTGGCTAGTGAGGCTGCTGACGGACGGCTTCCCGCATGGGTCGAGGATAGGCGCGTGGAGTGTGTCTGGCATAGGTGCTGTGACGTGGCCGTGAAAGTACTGGATCGCGATGGGTCAAGGAATTTTGGCACGAGATTGTCTGGGCAGCTGACGCCGGCCAGCAACCTTTCCGTGGCCGCGGACGATGTACATCGTCACCGAGCGCTCCAGTCTGTGGCTGCACTCGGGGTGGGTGTGCGCCTGGAAAACCCATGGACTGGACCGGCGCCGCGAGATGCCTATGAATGAAGACGTGACGTCCTGACCCCGCTATCCCCTCCCAGTCAACCTCGACCATCGATTCGAGGTTCTCGATAGCCTCGACCTCCTCAGCCTGATGGCGCCGCACAAGGGTCGACTTGCGGTTGGCTCGGCCACATAGTCGCCGGCCGGTGCCGGGAGCGCTGACCCGTATCCGGCCCTGACGGGCGGCTGCGGCTGAAGATGCCCCGGTGGCCATCCGGGTAGTACTTGACGTTTGACTCGTCAACGGTGTGAGCTTTGGCCCCGCTCGTCGGTGTCGGTATTCACTGTGGGGGACCCGTGGACTGCCCCAGTGCACCGCGGTCGAGAGGAAGCGTGAGCGACTGCGATCTCGGGCTCTGTGCCACGGGACGTCCGACGATGCTGCGCGATTCATCGTAAACCGCTCTTCCGATGCCCGCGTCCCGTAACCGGAGTCGAGAGTCTCGAGTTTTCCACTGCGCTGCGATGTGACGCCCTGTGCTCGTGTATGCGAGCATGTACCTCCAGCCCCATTCGAATCCTCAGGCAGCCCGGCGGAGTTTCCACTACCTCCGAACCTCCACTGTGGCTGATCTGCGCTGAAACGTAATCACTCACCCCGATACGCGGCCTTGCCCCGTATTCCAGGGTGCGTAGCTTGAGCGTGTTTTCCTTCGCATAGCGAATACCTCACTTCTGTGTCCGCGCTGTCGACTTGATCTCTCCGCATGCGCTTCCGAAGAATAGGAACATGAACCGAAACGAAAGGTACTCACCTATCGTCTGATCGCCGTGTTTTCTTGCCTGCGTCCAGAGACTGCCGCCGACATCCCAGCTCGCATTGTGTCCCACTCGCGAGGCCAGCGTTTCGTAGGTTGGACAGGAGCGCCGCGGCTCGTCGCGGTTGCAGAGCAATCCACCGTGGCGGCGGTCGTTTAGCTCGGGGCCGTCAGCCGAGGAGCGGGTATGGGCATGCGGGCTGAGTCGCATCTGGACCTCAAGGCCACGTGAGTGTATGTGATTCACGTACGAAATCTAACCGCTCCTTTCCACGCGAAGCGGACTCCAGGTGTTCCTCGCTGCTGCCTTGTTGGTGTCATCCGGTGGCTAGTATGATCCAACAACCACCTTTGAAATGATGGCGAACGAGGCAACACAAGGGTGCCCTACCTGCACGTAAGATTGTCACGTAGGGCGGTCGTGCATGGTGGACGCCAAGTAGAGTATCGAAACTAACGTAATCATGGCGTACCTATCAATGCAAAGATTTTCTGTCGCGCTCCCTAGGCCGACAGTTCCGCGATGGGTGTCAGAACAACCTGGAATTTTGCGGCAATGATTTCGCTCCCTGATCGAGCGAGGTATGTTTCGGGATATTGGAGCGAGTTGGGCGCCCTGCATTGTCTCAGCGCCGCTCACTTATTTACCCTCTCCCAGAGGGTGTGGGAATTTGTCACACACCTTCCAAGGACGGCTGAGTCGGGTCCGCTGTGGTTCGACGGGTTCGCCATCGATGGGTTCAAACTTGTAGCTTTATATTGAGCTTAAATGGGCAGGTAATGCTAGGGGTGCGGCACACCTTTGCTATGCCGTATTGCTGATATAATGTATGTCACATTTTGTTGATTTTAGCGTATTCAGCGGGGTACTGGGGCCCCGCCTAAAATCCAGTACAAGGGGTTACAGAAATGTTGCAACTTAGTGATGTGATCGCTGTTCAGTGCCGAGCCGCGAGGATGTGGAACGGTTGACGGAATGGCTGAGGGACGACGAGGTGAACGCATCCTGGTACGGTGTGGGATTGAGGATCGGATGCCACTGCCACTGCTGCGATAGCGCCCTCGACGCAAGTTCTTTGAATGGTGATTCAAGACTTGGAACCGGGTGTTCGAGGACGAAAGAGCTGGAGGTGGTTCGTGTCTACACGCCCCCGATAGGGGTGGCACTCGGGTGAAGCGCAGCGTTTTGATGCTTGGCCTGCTGAAGGCGGCGTTTATTCTTTGTGGGCGAGAGGACTTGTTGGCGTTTTGGTGTACCACCACTTACGGTAACCATTGGTCGATGGTAAGCCTGTTGCTTGCTGGACCACGCCTTCGACTCCCAGTGGCTGCACCGCATGTGCTGTGGCGATCGTGCGGCATACATACAGTGCCGGGCGCTGCAGATGGTGGAGCAGATCGGATTCGTGATGGAGGCCATTCCTCCGAAAGGTCTGCATCGTGCGGTGGCGACCAGTGTTTTGATGTTTGCTCCTACTACGGCGCTGGGCCTTCTCGCAGACGAGTACGGGCGCCGCCGCTCCAGGCTCTTGGAGAGCGGCTTGTGACAAAACACATGCGTGAATGCCGGGCACCAAGACACCGGACATGACGCTAAGGACACGCCAGATAACCGGGCCGAAAACCGCCGGCTGAATAACCGGTGGCCTGAGAACGGCGGGGAGTGGTATCAGCAATGATGCAGTAATCTACGATTCTACACGGGCTCCCGCTGTGGCGCCGGTGCATGCTGATGTGAGCATCGGTCAACTGGTGGCGGAGAGTCTGGAGATCAATTTCTACGACCGGCTGATTTTCACGCAGGCGGCGAGGCTCAGAGTGGAAATCTCCAGTGCGGTGATGATTGCCAAGGAGCAGCGGGTGGACCGGTTCCGCGACCGGCTGGGCCGGTTCCTGCAGACCATGCTGGATGCGTACGGCGATGTGTCTGCGGATGTGCGTGAGCGGCGAAGCGCGTATTCGGCGGCCAGGGAATCGAGAACCCTGCCCCCGGGAGACCTCATGGAGTGATGATGGTGAGGCACTTCGCCGGCCAACATGATGTCGATGATCAGACCTTCCTGGATGCCACCGAGAAGGTGGTGAAGGACATCTACGAGGAGGCAAGTCCGCATCGTTGGCGACGGGCCAAATCGGTCCATCCAATGGCGACCTGCCGGACGCCTACCACGTGGGCCTGATTGCGCCACTGGAAGTGCGAGTGCGGACCGATGCAGAGTCGGGGACCTACAGCAGCGGATGGAAGCAGAGAGAGTAGAGAACTACGGGGCCGAGCTTGAGAGGGCGCACGAGAATTTCTTCCGTCGCTTCTTCAACTTCAACCCCTATGACCCATCCCATTACCAGATGATGCTGAACATGGGCAGGATGTCGAACGAAATAGCGGCGAGCGTCATAGTACAATGCAGCACGCAGAGCCCATGAAAGTGTACTACCACGCCTGTCGCGTCGTCGCCGTCTCGTAAGAATTTCTGACTGCTGCGGACACGGGAGGTGATTAGGGGATGGGCTGTTCTGTGGCCGTGGGCGGCGATAGCGCTCGTTTGAGCAGCGAGTGAAGCGCATCCCGGGTGCGAAGCTGCGGTCAGGCGGAGCAGACCTGGCCCCATCCCGGACTTGCGTTGCGGGTCAGGCGAGAGTTGGGCAATTCTACTGAGGCGGGAGTCAATCACATGCTGGGGAACCTTATGAGGAAGCTCTTCGGCGGTCGAAGTGACCGGGACGCCGGGACCGACGAGGAGTGGAAGGAATGGAACGAAAGGCGCATGGCTGCGAAGGAAGCTGGAGAGCCGTTCGACGAGTCCTCTCCTGTCGCTGGGCCGCTAGGACGCGGGGTCAGACGGACGGCGGTCTCGTTTAGCCTGTGCGTTCGTAGCATGAACCGACGAGCCGAGTTGCGTGCGTGGTGCGTGCCTGGGTGCTCCGCACCGTTGATCATCACTTCGGCGGCCATGATGCCGGCGGCTTCGAAGGCGGAGGGGACGGCGGAGCCGGAGCCGGCGGGTTCTGATTCGGCGAATGAGCGAGAGGGGCGTCCCAAACGGGGCGCCCCTCAGTTTTTGTGTCAGGTGGTTGCGCTTTAGCCGGTGATCAGGTCGCGATACGGCCGGGTCATTAGGCTCCAGTAAGAATCGGCGTTCCGGTCGTAGCGGGAGTTGACAAAGACGCGCCATTTGGCATCGTCGAGGTTGGGGTAGTCGGAGCGGTAGTAGTAGCCGGGCCAGCGGGTCTCCTCGCGGTGCAACAGGTGGCGCAGGTGGGCCTCGCCGACCCAGGCGCGGTGGACGACCTCCCAAGACCGCATTAACTCGTGCGGGGTGCGGGCCGCCAGATGGGACAGGTCTTCCCGCAGCATCTCGATGAGGGCATGGGCGCAGTTGCCGGTCGGGGTCGGGTACTTGTGTGGGTATACCATGCGTAGCTCCGGCGCCGTATTCGTCCATGATTTTCTGCAGCCGCACCAATGCCTGCTTGGGAGTCAGGTAGTTGGGATTGATCTCCTCCGCGGTCGAAGCACCCCTGTGCTGGTTGAAGGTGGCCATAGGCGAGAGGATGGTCTGCCGCATCCCCTGCACCTGCTCGCCCGAGACGTGGGCGTGCCTGATGTGGTCCGGTCGTAGGGTGACGGCTTGGTCCTTGGCTGGGCCGACTCGATGGCCTGGCGGTGAAGGAGGCCCGAAGAAGACTGGTGGTGGGCGCGGCCAACGCCTGTCGGCCTGGGCGACAGGCCGCGGACGGTGGTCATGCGGTTGTAGCCCCAGAAGTAGTCGTCGACGGCGACGTCCCTCGGTGTCGAGCTGACCCAGGCGCCGCTTTGCCCGGTGTTAAGTGGGAGCACATGTATGTAGGCTGTCGGCCATGCACGACCTTCGGATGGAGTCTCCTCGGGCGCTATGTTCTGAGCGGCCCAGGTGAGTGCCTGGGCGATGGTCATGTCGAGGAAGTCTTCCCAGGCCTCATTCCTGACATGTTCCATTTTCTCGGGTGTGGTCGCCACCGGAGAGGGCCTGCATGGCAAGGTCGGTGCGCATGTACATGGGCCCGTAGCCGTCGCGCACATCGAGGAACATCTGGTGGTTGCGCAGCGGTGTGGGCGTGGGGATAGCGGAGCCGTAGGGCTCGTACTTTTCCAGCTCGGCGGCGCGGGTGACGGTGTAGTCCTCGCCGAGGGAGTGAGCACCTTGGCGTGGAAGTACTGGAACCACATGCCGACGGGGCCGTAGCCGTCCTTGAACCGCGTGGGCACGAAGCGGTGCTCCATCTGGGTCATTTCGACGCCGGCGGGGATCATCAGGCCGTAGGCGGAGCCGGTGGCGAAGACGGAGTACCAGGTGCGGCCGAGGCCCTCGCTGACGGAGCGGGGGCGGAAGACGTTGGAGGCGCCGCCGGTGGTGATAATGACGACGGGGGAGCGGAAGACGTAGAACTTGTTGTCGCGGACCGAGAAGCCGCAGGCGCCGGCGATCTTGCCGGGGTCATCATCGTCGGTGAGGAGGTGGGTGATGGCTATGCGCTCGTAGATGTTCTCCTCTCCGAGGCGGTGCGGGCCGGCTCGGCGGCGATGGGCTTGATGGACTCGCCGTGGATGGGATCTGCCAGCGGCCGATGCGCTCGTACTGGCCGTTTTCCTGCTTCCAGATGGGGAGGCCCCATTCCTCGAGGAGATGGACTGAGTTGTCGACGTGACGGCCGATGTCGTAGACCAGGTCCTCGCGGGCGAGGCCCATCATGTCGTTAACGACATAGTTGACGAAGTCCTCGGGTGTGTTCCAGCCGTAGCGCTGGCCCATGTAGCAGTTGATGGCCGAGAGGCCCTCGCCGGTGGCGCCGCTGCGCTCGATGACGGCCTTCTCGGCGAGGACGACGCGCTTGTCGCCAGCCCAGAACTTGGCCTCGAAGGCGGCGCCGCAGCCGGACATGCCGCCGCCGATGATCAGGATATCGCAGTCAACAGTTTCTGTAGTTTCGAAAGCCACAGTTTGGTCCTCCGTGATTCAGGATGCGCCCCAGCCTGACGCCGCTATTCGTCCGTCAGTCCCACATTCGCAGGAATGACGATTGAGGAACTAATGGGAAGCCGGGACGGGCAGCGAATCTACGCCCAGCCAGTTGGAGTCGCCGGCGAGGTTCTGGTTGCGGAGGTCGACGGAGCGGTCCTCGGTGAACCCCTCGTAGGGTACAACGGTGCCGGCGGGACGGGTGCGGGATGGGTAGGTGAAATCGAAGCGGCGGCCGTCGCGGAAGACGACCTCCCAGTGCAGGCCCCCGTTTTCGATGCCGTCAGCAGGGGTGCGGTGGGGCTGCACGATGGCGCCCAAGGGCACGAAGTCGGCGTAGCCGCGGACGCTGATGGCTTCCTGCGGACAGAGCTTCACGCAGGCGTAGCACTCAGAGCACAATTCGGGTTCCTGATTGAAGCCCTTGTTGACACCGATATCCATTGCCATCAGGTCGTTGGGGCAGATGTAGACGCAGAGAGGGCCCTGATGCTCCCCGGCGCAGGCGTTGCAGGTGTTGGGGTCTACGAAAGTCGGCACGGCTCACCCCCGATTTAATATTCCTTTTTCGACGGTTCGCCCCCGTTCTGCCCATCCTTCACAAGGAGAGGGAAATTGACCGGGAGGCGGTGACAAATGAAAACCCCCTCGCGACTGCTAGAGGGGGCATAAATTGCAACGAACTAGGAAGGCTGACACTCCGTACAGGTGCACAGGCCCATCTCCGGCATGGTGATGACCGGGGTACGCTGTTCCAAGTATTCAGATGTTACGAAAGGAGAGCCCATTCCGTATTTCTCGGCGCACTCGCGCACGACCTCCAGAACCTGCGGACGGAGCGTGGTGGCCGCCGGGCCGGCGCCACCGCTGATAATGCTGCGTATAAGGGTCCCGGCCAAGTCCTGTTTCTGCTCGGGGTGGCCGCAGATACCTTCGTAGGCCACGCTCTCGCAGACAGGACAGTACACCATTCCAAGGTGAGAACAGACTTTATACCAAGTTCGGGAAGCGTGTCAAAGACCTCGTGGGCGGCATAGCGGCCGTAGTGGCTGCCGACGCCGGCGTGGTCGCGGCCGAACATGTGGTGGGTGCAGCCGAGGTTCTTGCGGACCAGGGCGTGGAAGACCGCCTCACGGGGCCCGGCGTAACGCATGTCCCACATTAAAGTGGAGGTCTCGTGGATTTCGGGAAGGAAGAAGCCCTCCTCCCGCAGGAGGGCGTGGGCGAGGACTATGGCCTCGTCGATGTAGTCGCCCGGCTTCTTTTCGCCGATGACGGCGCTGACGAGGATGCCGTCGGCGCCGGAGGCGAGCAGGGCGCCCTTCATCATCATCTCGTGGCCGGCGTGGGGGACGTTGCGGGTCTGGTGGGCCACGGCGGAACTCCAGCCGAGCTCGGCCAGCCGTGCCCTGAGTTGCTCCGGCGTCTTCCAAAACCGGTCGAAAGGCGGGTTTACCCGGGGTGGGTTCACGAGGGTCACCTTTCCGGCGACCAGGGTGTCCTCGAGCGCCATAGTGCGGGCCACGCCGGGATGCTCAGGGTCGGTGGTGCCGTAGACGTTCCGGGCCATCACCGTCTTGTTGTAGCTGTAGACCTCCGAGACGTCCAGGGTGGCCAATGGCTGGTCCTGGTGGGTCAGCAGGACGCGGGCGCCGACTGTTGCGCCGGTCAAGGCCCAACCTGAGGGGGAAACGTCGAGGACGATGGGTATGCTCCACACGAGGCCGTCGGCGAGGCGCATGGAGCGGACCACGGAGTCCAGGTCAGCGTGGCCCATGAAGCCCTCGAGAGGAGAAAACACGCCATAGGCCAGATTGATAACTTCCCGTGCTATCTGTTCGCTCACGGTGAGTCGAGGCAGCCCGGTGACAATGTGCGCCGCCTCGCCTGAAGGAGCGACTGACACCTTGAGTTTGCCGCCGTGGGGAGAGAGGCTATTGTCTACAGCCATCACCCAGCCCTAAGGAACTATCTCAAATCGATTACGCTCTGAATGCATGGAGCAGTTACCCGCAAATGCCACTCGATTCCCGCTGCCCGATCGAGTCGAGGACATATTTCGCGGGAATGACGGAATGGGGGCGGTAGCAAGTCTTGAGATAGTTTCCAGATAGAATTTACGGCTTGCTGAGCCGCGGGTGCCCGTGTGAGAACCAAATGGCTGCTATTCAGTCGGGTTGGCCATTGCGGGCGACGAGGGCCAACTCAAGGTGGGCAGTATCTGGAATGGCAAGAGTCCCGTACCGAGACGACACCGAGAGCCGTCCAAGGTGGTGTTCCCCATCAGTTTGCCAGAGGTGAAGCAGTCCGGGAACTACTCGGTAGCCGCTACCGTGGTGGCGTCCGTCGGACTGGCGCCCCTGGCATTGCACCCGTGACTGGCCACAGTCGAGAGAAGAATCAGCCCCACCACTGCCAGTGCCACAATTGCCCGGCCGACGCGCCTGCCCGGTATACGCATCCTTCCTGTTCTCTCCAGATAAGTGTTCCCTGCAAGTCTCTGCAACCATGCCGAAGCCGGTGCCTGATTCCCAAATGCAGGGATTTTCGCTGTCGCCGACAGTGCCAGCGGCCGCAGGCAGTATATCGTAAGGCCGGATTTCGGGCTAGTGTTCCGGCACATGAACAGGGCCTTTTCGTCGGCCTTCACCCAGGGAGGCGCGGGAAAGGCCCATCCTCAGTAACCAGGGTTCTTTCGAGGTGTAGCCTGCGCTAGCAGCCTGTCTCCGGAACATGGCAACACCGGCGCCAAGGATCACCACTATGACACCGACGATGCCGACGATTAGCATAACTATGCTGCCAGTGGACGCCGTCTGGTCCGAGTCTGCTTTCCGAGTGGAGGATGTCTGTTGGACATCGCAGACCAGGGCGTCGATCTCCGCCTCGAGACCGGCCAGAATCCGGTCGGTTTCCGCAATCAACTGGCGTTCCCGGACGGCCATGGCCAGGCTGACCCTGAGGGCGTCGAAGTAGCTGTGCTCTCGCCGGTTCCGGCTTCAAACGGCGCCCTGGAGAGTGGAACCACGCGTGGGTCCAGCTCGTAGCGGCCGTCCTCCGAAAGAATCTCAATGCTCTTTTGGGTCCTCTGCGCGGAGGTATCGAAAGCTTCTTCAACATTGGTGACCAGCGTCGGGTCCCGCATGCTGCTGGCTGCCAAGAGGCTGGAATGCCCGATTCCCACGGAGCGCGTGAGTGTGTTGAGGTGGGCGAATCGAGCAAATTCTTCTTTGGAAAACGCCTCCGCTCCAGTGGCGACCCGGGGCCTCAATTCGCTTCTGCCGGTCATCATGAAGTAGAACTGGTTGCTGAGGGTGGTAGTTTTGGCCGGCAGGGCTATCGCACTTGGATTCTTCACATTCTGTCATTCCCGCGAAAGCGGGAATCCAGTGGCCAAAAATTAAGCCTGGCGGTTACCGGATGTGGCCCGATCCGACCTGGTGGCCGAAGGCGGTCAGAAGAACGGAAGCCCTGGATTCCCGCTTTCGCGGGTATGACGGGTTGATTTCGCTACGACACTGGTGTTGCGGCCCAAATGCGATTGCCTTGCCGGGGCCCCAGGGTCTTTTAGTTTTCCCTCTATCCTGAGGGAAGCGCTAATGTGGAGGTTAAATTCTTCGTGTCAACTGCTTGTAAAATAACGAGGGAACGCCCTCACCCTAACCCTCTCCCAGAGGGAGAGGGAACAATTAAAAGACCCTGCCTGGGGCCCGAGGGACAGTTGACATTGGGTGTCCGTAGCTTGCAGTATTGCCATTCGCGTCCTGTCGCCCTCTGTCGCCCCCTGCTTCCTTATGTCAATAGAGTAAAAAGGCCTGCATCATCGGTCCTTCCCGCCGGTTATCCCGCCCCAGAACCTTCGAATCCTGGATTAGATACCGGGATTTTCGACTGCTATGGTGCGCAAACTTCTGCGCCAACACCGCGGTGTGGCTCCAGCTGCTGAGCGTAGGGTGGCTGGTCAAGGACCTGTCGGCAGGTTCTGCCATGGGTGCCCTGCTCGTAGTGGGAGTGGGGGCCATCAACACGCTGCCGAGCCTCTTGGTAAGTCCACTGACCGGCGTGCTGGGCGACCGGCTGGACCGTCGCAAGCTGGTGATGACGGTGCAGGCGCTGGGGGCCGGGCTGGCGCTTGCGTTCGCGTTCCTGGTGGAGAGCGATATCGTCAGGTCATGGCACGCCTACGCCTATGTGCTGATTTCGGGAGCTTTCCTGGCAATCACGCAGCCGATGCAGCAGGTGCTGGTATCCAACACAGTGCCCCGTGAGGCTGTGAGCAACGCCTATGCCATCAACGTTCTGACGATCACAGGTACGCGGATATTCGGTCCGTTCATCGGCGGGTTGTTGATTTTCTGGCTGGGGTATTTCTGGAACTTCGCCCTGGAGAGCGCCCTGTACCTGGCCGTGGTTCTTTTTCATGCTCTCCATGCGGCTGAACTACCTTGACCAGGGAACGGGGAGGTCGAGTGCGAAGTTCACCCCGCTGGCGGATTTCCGGGACGGGGTGTTGTACCTGTGGAGGCAGCAGCGGGAAATCCTACAGATGATGGTGGTGTCGGTTATACCCAACACCATTCTTCACCCGGTGTGGTTCCTGCTGCCGCTGTTCACGGCAGAGGTATTGCTCGCCGATGTGGACATGGGCGGCTACCTGCTGGCGGTCACAGGAGTAGGCGGGTTTATCTCGACGATCATCATCGCCTCATTCGGATTGGGGTCCCGCCGGGGGCTGGTGCTACTGGTGACGGCGGCCTTCAGTTCCGCTTGCACGATGGCGCTGGCGTATTCGTCTTGGCTGCCTGCGGCGTTATTCTTCCTTGCGGCAATGTCCATGTTCCAGTCCCACTACCGCACAACCCAGGGGACGGTGGTGCTGTCGATCGTTCCTGACCAGTACCGGGCCAGGACTTTCAGCGTCCTGGCGTACGAGCGAGGGTTTCTGACAGGGGCGAGCGTGCTGGTGGGAATGTTGGCTGACGCTACAAATGCATCCATGGCGATCCTGGTGCTGGGCGGGCTGGGGTTGGCCCTGACGGGCGCCTGTGCGGTGGCGCTGCCGAGAGTGCGGTCCCTGGAGTGAGGGACCGCACTCGGAGGCTATTGCCTTGGTCTGGGGGAGCTGGCGCTTCCTGCCGCAAGGGGCGGAGACCATGCGGGCGCTCCAGGCACAGGGAAGTACAAGGAGGTTGTCCACTGCGGGGACAAGTTATCCACGGAATTGCCTCCAGTTGTCCACGGGTCAGGCCAGGGCTCTCCCTGTGCTGCGGGGACCTGTCGGAGTTTGGACAGCTGAATTGCGCTCAAGCTTCGAGCGTGTTTTACTGCCCATCACAACATTCCACCACCTTTTCTCGTGGAGCGCCGAGGGGATCTATGAACCTTACAGAGAGAATCGCCGAATATATCAACACCACCGGGCTGGAAGACTTTCCGCCCGACGCCATCGACGCGGCCAAAGCTGCCATAACGGACTGCCTGGGCTGTACGCTGGCCGGTTCGACTGAACCGCTGGCGGATGTGCTCTGCAACTACATAAACGATCTTGGGGGCAAACCGGCAGCCACCGTAATCGGCAGGGGCTTCAAGACCAGCTCGCTGGAGGCGGCGCTGGTCAATGGGGCGATGTCGCATGCCCTGGACTACGACGATGTCACCTTCATCACCAAGACGCATCCCAGCGCGGCGCTGATCCCGGGTGCGCTGCCACTGGCGGAAGAGGTCGGCGCTACCGGCGGCGAACTTCTCCTGTCATACCTGCTGGGATTCGAGGTGGCCTGTGCGGTGGGAGACGCCATCAGCCCGGCGTACTTCGACGACCTGGGCTGGCACCCTACGGGGCCGCTGGGAACCCTGGGGGCGGCGGCTGCCGCGTCCCGCCTGCTGCGGCTGGACCCGGAAAAGACGGCGATGGCCATCTCGCTGGCGGCCTCGCAGGCGTCCGGGCTCCGCCAGAATTTCGGCACCATGACCAAGCCGTACCACGCCGGGGCGGCCTGCCGGGCGGGTGTGAACGCGGCCAAGCTGGTGCAGGCGGGGTTCACCGCCTCGAGCGATGCGCTGGAAGGAAGATTCGGCTTCATGCGGGCGTTCTCCGGCGGGAGCGGCTATGACCCGGACCGGGCCTCGGCGTCGCTGGGGAGCCGGTGCTTCATGGTGGAGTCGGGCATCGAGATCAAGAAGTACCCTTGCTGTGGGAGTGCCCACCTGGCGCTGGACGCAACTTCGCAACTGCTCCGACGGGAATCATTCTCGGCGGGCGATGTGGACCGCATAGACGTGCTGGTGGACTTCGATCCACCCCGTTCGCTGATTCACTCGCGGCCGACGGGCGGGCTGGAGGGGAAGTTCAGCATGCAGTACTGCCTTGCGGCGGAGATCATCGACGGGCGGATCGGCCTGGCCTCCTTCTCCGACGAGCAGGTCATGCGGTCGGAGGCCCAGGAGATGATCCCGCGCATCGAGATGCGCCGCCACCCGGGCTACGAGGGCCAGACCAGCTGGACGGAAGCCCACAACAGGGTGGAGGTCCACCTCAAGGACGGACGGGTACTGGCGGAGCGAGCGGACCGGGCGACCACCGGTGCGCTGCGAGGAGTGTCCCGGGACGATGTGCGGGTGAAGTTCTTGGACTGCGCTTCAATCGTGCTGGATGAGAATGACGCACAGCAGGCACTGGAATGCTGGACTCCCTGGAGGATGTGGGGCCGGTGGGGCCGCTGGCCGAGTTGCTGGGGGGCTAGCCTAGGTCAGAATCCGGGCCTTCTAATGCTGTTAGAGTATCAAGAGACCACCCTGGGTGTTCTGGAAAACGACCGTGAAAGGGGGACCATAGACCACCTTGAGTATCTCATCATCAGCAGGAATCTCAAAAATGGTTTCGAAGTCCACTTCGCTGTTCCGGGATATGTGAAGCAGTTGCTCCCAAAGACCTGCGACCTCATCGACATTGGTAATGAACTGGTAAAAGCGGTCCGCTTCCCCTACAAACTCAACGAACCCTTCGTTGCCCTGCAATTTTAGCTCTCGCCCGTCAATTTTCGTTCTAAATCAGGCCAACTTACGATGGTTCCCTGCCCCCCATTCTTCCTTGCTCTCACACCAGAGAGGGCGGATCTGTATATTGCATCATATTCCTCATCCGAAATGCGCTCCGGGCGAAGTGGCCTGATGGTCTTTTCCCTAAATTCTGATTGAGTATATTCGTCCATTTCAAATGCCTCTAATGACTCAGTTGCCTCGAGAATGCAGGTAAAGAATGCGCCGTTGGGAACGTCACGAATGGCAACCTGCTGTTGCCACCCAACCGGCACGACTTCCATGTCGTAAACGCACCTAAGAATTTCGGCGGTGCCTAAAGAGGAAAATGTGTCTGCGACCTGACTGAAGACTTGGGTAACATTAGCCATCCCTGGGAGGGCTCGGGACTCCATCCTGTTTCTGAAGTGCCTTGCCGCGGCCCTTCCTTCCTCCGTGACAGTAATGATGCCGAATCGTTCGACGGGGACATCCAAGTACCCCAGTTCGCTCAACTCTTCCCAAGTGGCATAAAGCTCTCGGGTGAAGGGTCCGTGAGTGTAGCGGTAAAAGCTGTAATTGAGGCCTTTCAGCCTCCTTTTCGAGGATTCGATTGCCGCCAAAAACAACAGCTTTGTGGTTTTCAGACGGTCACCGACGGCGCCTGAATCGTCGGCGCACATGTCTAAAAGTATCAGGGAAAGCAGTGTGTCGCTTTCCACTTCCTGGCGAGTTCGAGATAATCGCATCGGTCCCCCCCTCAGATCAGCCGCATTTCAGTTGACAGGCTCTCTCTTATAGTCGATGGACCAAACACCCCAGTCTAATGAACGACTTATACCACTTTCTCTCAAACTATGGGACGGTGCAAGTCAATAGCCGGCGGGCTACTCTATACACCGCCAAGTAACTTTGGGAAACCACGGGCCTGGCTACTGGGAGGTGAGGCCTCCGTCGATGACCAGTTCGGCGCCGGTCATGAACGACGAATCGTCGGAAGCGAGGAAGAGGGCGCCGTTGGCGATGTCCTCAGGCGTGCCGATGCGCTTGAGAACTGTGCGCTCGATGGCCTCTTCGCGGCTGCCGGCGTCGGGCCAGACCTGGTCGCCCATGGGGGTGTCGATGGGGCCGGGGTGGATGGAGTTGGCCCGGATGTTCTCACGCCCGTACTGCACCGCTGTGGACTTGGTGAAGAGGCGGACAGCGCCCTTGGATGCGCTGTAGGCGGTGCTCGTACGGCTGCCGACGAGGCCGGCGGTGGAGGATATGTTGACGATCGAGCCGCCCCCAGCCTTTCGCATCTCGGGAATTGCCAGCTTGGTGCCCAGGAACACCCCCTTGGCGTTGATGTCGAGGACGGTGTCCCACTGCTCACCGGTGGTTTCCAGAACATGCCCGCCGCGCCAAATGGCCGCGTTGTTGACCAGCACGTCGAGCTTACCGTATGCGGCGACCGTGGCGTCTATTGCCTGCTGCCAGTCGTCCTGACTTGAAACGTCCAGATGGACAAAGGTGGCATCGCCGCCCAATTCGTTAATCTCGGCAGCAACGGCCATTCCGTCCGGGTCCAATACGTCGGCGATTACTACCCTGGCGCCTTCGCGAGCGAACAGCCGGGCTTCCGCCGCACCCTGCCCCCTGGCGCCGCCGGTAATGAGTGCAACCTTTCCTTCGAGTCGCATCTTCAACCTCGCTTTTAATACTTGCAAATCCAGAAACGGAAAATGCAATTCGAGAACGCGACCGAGTGTAGTGTCGAGCGCTTACCCCGGTCAATTTGGATGGTGTCACTCCGCATTTGCTCTGGCCCCGAACGATTGACAACCCGTATCTGGCACTAATTAATATACGCGTAACCCCGCCTGCGGGTTGGTGCGCTATGCGCCATGGCTTTGCGGGCTAGCATGTACCAACAGCCTACCTTATCAATGGAGGAGGAAACCATGGGCGACCAGGACATCGCATTGATGGCTCATCTGATGCGCCGCGCCGGATTCGGCGCCACCAGGGAGGAGCTGGAAGCCAGAGTAGCCAAAGGCTACGAGGCGAACGTCGAGGAACTGCTGAACCCTGATGTCCAGCCCTCGCTGGACCGCAACGAGATGATGCGGTACCACCCGTGGACGTGGCGGCCCGGCACCCTGCCAGGCATGGGCGCCGCCGAATGGCTGCACGACATGGTCAACACCACGCGCCCGCTGGAAGAGAAGATGGCCCTGTTCTGGCACGGCATCTTCGCCACCGGCGTCTCCAAAGTCGACCACTACGACGACGTGATGGACATGATCGTCAAGTTCCGCGAGAAGGGAATGGGCGACTTCCGTGAGCTGCTGGTCGAGATGGCCAAGGACCCGGCCATGATCTACTGGCTGGACAACTGCGAGAACCACGCCGATGCCGTAAATGAGAACTGGGGCCGCGAGCTTCTGGAACTCTTCACCATGGGCGTCGGCAACTACACCGAGGTTGATGTCCGGGAGTGCTCCCGCGCCTTCACCGGATGGACCATTGAGCCCAAGCTGCCGCGCGGGCCCATTGGTCGGCACGACTGGTTCTTCGAGTTTCGCGCTGAAGACCATGACGACACCGAGAAGACCTTCCTGGGGAATACCGGCAACTTCAACGGCGAGGACGTCGTTCGCTTGATCAGCGAGCATCCCGCCTCCGCCAACTTTGTCGCCCGCCACCTGTACAACTTCTTCGTGGCCGATGAAGCGCAGGTACCGGCGTGGTCGGTGACTCCTCCCAACGACCCGGAGGCAGTTGAGCTGCTGGCCAACACCCTGCGAGAGAACAACTTCGAAATGCGCGCAGCGCTCCGCGTGCTGTTCAACTCCGACTTCTTCAAAGAAGCCCGCTTCGCCCGGCTGAAGAACCCGACCGAGGTCGTGGTCGGCACGCTGCGCATGGTGGGCGGCGCCGAGTTCCCGGCTCCGGGCATCGGCGACCTCTCCCGCCAGCCCAGCTACATGGGCCAGGACCTGCTCAATCCGCCCAGCGTGGAAGGCTGGCACACCGGCGCCGAGTGGATCAACAGTGGCTCCCTGATGCGCCGCGTCAACTTCACCGCAGAGTTGGTGGGTGATGTGTCCCGCCCGGGCATCCGCTACATGGTCAACCGCCTGCAGGCCAATGGTGTCAGCAGCGCGGCCCAGGCCGTTGACGGCTGCCTGGACCTGATGGGATCGCTGGAGGTCACCAGACGAGAGCCGCGACGAGCTCATCGGCTTCGTCGGCGAGGGTGGCGACTTCTCCTGGGGCTCCGAGGCCGAAGTGGCAGAGTCCACCCGCGGCGTGTCGGAACTCCTGCAGCTGATCGTCTCCCTGCGTGAGTACCAGTACGCCTAATCGAGTTGGAACACGGGAGTGCGGACGACTTTTTCCGCACTCCGCATTTCTGGGGTTAACCAATAAGCAAGCCGGAATGACCGGCGGGAGGAAAAGCTGATATGACCAGCACCAAGAAAGACCCGGTCTTGGTAGTGTTCCAGCTAACCGGGGCCAATGACTACCTGAACACCATCATTCCCTACAGCGATCCGTTGTACCGGGACAGCCGTCCGGCTGTCGGGGTTGCCGAAGATCGCGTGATCAGAATCGATGACAAGATGGGCTTCCACCCCCGGAGATGGCTCCGCTGAAGCACGTCTATGACCGTGGCGACATGGCCGTCATCCACGGCATCGGCTATGCCAACTCCCCGCGCTCGCACTTCCGCTCCATGGACATCTGGCACACCTGCGAGCCGGACAAGCTGGGAACCGAGGGCTGGCTGGGCCGCGCCACCCGCGACATCGACCCCAACAAGGAAAACGTCCTGACCACGGTCAGCTTCGGCCCCTCGCTGTTCCGCGCGCTGGCCCTGCCCGGCGTGCCGGTGGCAGTGGTCGATGACCTGGACAACTACGGCCTGCTGCCCAACATCGCGGGTGAGCAGCGCAACAAGGTGCTGGACCGGTTTGCCCGCATGTACTCGCCGGCCATCGGTACTGGCGCGGTCATGGACTACATGGGCCAGACCGGGCTGGACACCCTGGAGGGCGCCGACATCCTGAAGGAAGCCCCCAGGATGTACTCGTCGGACGTCGAGTACCCGGACACATCCATCGCCAAGAAGCTGAAGGGCATCGCCCAGGTGCACATGGCCAACCTCGGCACCCGCGTCTTCTACGTTGACCACGGCAGCTTCGACAGCCACTCCAACCAGATCGGCATGCACGACAAGCTGTGGTACGACGTGTCCCACGCGATGGATGCGTTCCTTGACGACCTGAAGGAGCACAACGCCGACCAGGAGAGTCGTGTGTGTGATGTTTCACGAGTTTCGGCACGCCGCACCTACGCGACACAACGGCCTCCGGCCACCGGACGCACGGCTGGCGCCGCGCGGCGCGGCCTTCATGTTCGGCTCCGGCGTAAGGGCGGCCAGTACAGCGAATTCCCGTCCCTGGAAGAGAAGGACCTGGAGCAGGGCGACGTCGTTCCCAACAACGACTTCCGCGGCCTGTACTCCACCGTTCTGGAAGACTGGATGGGGCTGGACTCCTAACCGCTGGTGGGTGGACTCTTCGAGAAGCTGCCCATCCTGGCCTAGTCGGCCCCGCTCCGGCACGAAAGCGACGACAGGGGCGGGTTGTTACACCCGCCCCTGCGCTAACCAATGACCACCGTAATCGGGGAGGACTTTCAGAATGCTTACTGAAACAGTGGCGGGCCGCACTTTCGACTACAGCCACAACGTCGGGCGCGGCGCGCAGACCGGAATGGGCTTCAATTCCCCGGTCGCTATGACGATAGGGCCGAACGGAATGGTCTATGTTGCCAACAGGGGCAGCGAGTCCATCAGCAACGTTGGCTGGAACCGCACCGGTGTCGGCCAGCGTATCTCCAAGGTAAACCTCGGCAGTACCTGGGGCGAAGAAGAATACGTCGGCGAGTTCAGCCGCTACGGCAGCACGACGGCCAGGTCATCTGGCCTGCGGGCATCGTGGCCGGCGATGACGGTCTCCTGTATGTTGCTGACGAGTGGCTCAACCGCGTCTCGGTGTTCGACGCCGAAGGCAATTACCAGCGCCACTTCTCAACGGTGCAGGAGGGTGAGTCCGAGGCGAACGGCAGCTGCGGAATCGCCATTTCCTCCTCGCCCGCCGATCCCAGATCCTGTTCGTTATCCGATGGCGCAGCGCCACCTGGTACGCAAGTGTTCACACAGCCGGTGGGACAGTTTCCCTGGCCCCTGGGGTGTCTTCTGCAGCGAGGTGATCCGGGAGATGGGTCGAGTTATCAACTCAGCACCTGGGCAATCACATCGAGCATGACGGAAACGTCTACTGGGACGGGGTCGCATCGACATCGTCGGGCAATCACCGGGTGCAGAAGCTGACCCAGGACGGCCAGTATTTTTCCTTGGCGCGCAGTCTGCGGCGTCCCGCGGCACCTACGCGTCGGCGAGCATGCACTAAACACGTGCTGGACGTTGCCGAGTTTGAGCTCCGAAGGCGACGTTTATATTTGCGACTGGAGTTCCAACCGCTGGGACCGGGGCCGTGTGCATATCTTCGAGGCAGACGGCAAGTTCCTGAACCAAAGTCCTTGTGTTTGTGACTCTGGCGTGCAGCAGCTGTCCCACTGTTGGCCCCAGATTACAGTGAGACGCCATGCGTGACTACGCCAAGCGCCAGTCCGTGAGGTCCGCTACCACTCAGCGCCCCGAGGATGGACATCGCGCAGCCAGGCCCACAACAGCGGTAGACAGATGAGATTCGCCTGTCTACTCACCGGGTGATCGTGGCGGACACTGCAAGCTGCATGCCGCAATTCCAGTATACTACAAGCAGCTGGGAGCCCGCTACTGATCCCCAGCTCCACGACCTCTGATTCCGCGCTGCGGATAGTCAGACACGCAAGGCCCGCCGGATTCCCGGCGGGCTTTTCTTTTTGAGAGAGGCGGGAGTTTCGCCTGTGGCAAGTCGCCTTAGGGCAAAGACTTCATGTGCTCTTCAAGCCAGGGAATCAGGTTTTGTCGCAGCTTTGGCAACGAATTGCGATTCTGTATCTAATTCCCCATAAGAAGGCGCGTATGGCCACATCCTTTCCACAGTCTATGTAAGATCCGTTCATTCGCAAAAATGCGTCCGTGATTACGAATGCAACACGCTTATTCCATCGACGAATGGGTGATTTTGAGACAAACTCTCCATCAGAGCGTGCTGCTTCCTCGATGAGGCTGTTGTAATACCCCATCTGAGGACGCCACACTGCAGATGCAAGGGCACCCTCATCGCGAAGGCCGTAGGCTACTCGACCCATCTCACATTACGCAGTGCGTGCGAACGTGCGATGACTTCTTGTTCGTCGATGGTGGAAACTCGAAATGGTTCACCGTGAGCCAGTTAGCTACAAGCGTTCCCGGTTCCGCTCCATGCTGGCCCGAGCGTGAGCCATAACTTCGGGGCGAACTTTCCTTTGGGAACGACCCTCGATGTATGCCACGAAAAGCATCCTCAAGCACTGCCTGAAACTGCCGACCGTCGTCGGTGGCGATTTTCCGCAAGCGTGTCGCTCAGCCAAATGCTAAAGGGTCGACTTGGACTATGGAGATTTCTCATTTCGCAGCTCCTGTGCAGTTGTCCATATATCGTCCCTCTCAGTTACACACTGTAGGCTGAGTTCACATAACACA